CATCAACGATAACCGCATTACAGGGAGGCTGTTGGTCCATTGCCCCCTTATGAAAAACCCTAGGGGCGATTATTGAGACTAAAAGGAGAAAAATAAGGAATGACTAGAAGAATGTTTGAAATGCAGTGCTTCTCTCAAATAGAGACTGTTCAGCTCTCATCGGGGAGAATGGAAGCTCTCATCGGAGAGAATAAGTTGATCTCTTATTGAGTCACCCAATAAGTTATCCCGCACATCATGTGGCAAAATCTGGCAATGTGGCAAATGGGTATGGTATAAGCATAAGAGCATTGAAAAATAGACATCGAGAACCTTCACAAAAGAGGAGCGACATAATGATGTTAATACTTGCAAAAGTGAATGGACAACATCATCCGCATACTGACAAGAAGTTGTAGGAGTGAGGATATTGCCACCGCATAAAGCATGAAGATACAATTGACACGATAGTGGTCAACTACAAGAAACATTGTTGGTCTTTAGCGCAACTGGGAAAGCGGTAGCTGCAGAAAATAATAAACTTATGCAACCAGCAACTACCGTGTTAATTTCTATATTTCTTAGGGATATCCAAGGTCGGTTGGTGGCTCGTCAAGGGCATGGGAAAAATGAATTATAAAGTTGAAGGCATAAATAATTCCAAGTTTTGGCCCATATATTTTCATGCAAAAAATAGGGCAAATTAATTCCACTAATATATCATTTTGACCATGCAGCACCGTGCACATTTGACATTTCCTAAAGATTAGGCATACATAGCATCCACATGCTTGGTTTGGGTTCAATCATAAAAAAATATGTCACCTAAGAAATAGACACCGTCTAAAAACATATATTCTCTAAAATAGAAGTAGACTAAATCCTGTTGATGTGGCAGCCAGAAAAAGACTCGATATATCCCTAAGTCTATTTTAGACCCAAATAGATACTTGGTATCTTTGTCTTGGAGTAAATTATGTTAATTTTATATAGCTTTTTTTTTAAGAAAATTCTGGAATTTTCCAAAAATCAAGGTTAATTTTTCAAAATTCATTTTCGATATTAAACATTTAGCGACATTGCTCAAAACATTATCACAATTAGCTCAAGTCATATCGGAGACGATGGGGTCTCATTACCCAAATAATCACATGGGAACTCATTGCCCAAACACATATATCACATGCATACGAGATAAAAATATCAATCATAATCATAATCCCAAATCATCTTTAATTCAAACTTAATCATCATTATGTTCAACATGTTCAAGTTCCAAAACCAAGTTCAACAGAAACATCAGTTCATAACATGCTAAAATCGTTCAACATAAGTTTGAAGGAAAACACAAGTCATAGCGGAAGCAGTTCAAACGCACGCATAAACATAAAGCCAGTAAAAGGACTCCTCACTCGTGCGTCTGGCCACGCCACGCCACGCCACCTGCTCAAGCTGAAAGGGGGGATTATGGGGGTGAGCACACCTATCTCACCACTATGCACATCAATTCTATATAATAACAATAATATAATAACATACATTAGGGTAGTAACATGAACATGAATCAACAACAAATATCACATCTCATAATATTCAAGTCTACACCTATATAACCGTTGAATAACCGCTGAAGGTCAAAATCGCATCCAACAACGGCAGCACATGTCAATGGTCGAATCCGCATTCAAAGACATGAGTTTATTTACATGTCACACAAGACTGGTCTAAACATGGGATCCGGGGGCTCTGCTGTGAATAATTTTACAGCAAGCTTTGTTGTGCTTGATGGTGGCCGTTGGATTATAGGATCTACTATCTAACGGCTTTAATTTTCTTATATATTCTTACAATTCTTTTTATTAAAACAAATAAATAATACAGCCTCACCAAAGCAGAAAGGAAAGAGAATTCATCTGTATAAATCTGCCATTAAAGAACAGAAAAATTGGGTAAAAACAAAAACGAAGAAATCTCCAATTTGAAAGAAAAAATGACGAAAATAAGAGGAGGCAAATCAATGTGGGAAAGATTTGAGAAAAATATCCAAATTCCAACTTTAACCATTCTAACAAAAAAAAAAAAAAATGTGACGCCATAGCATAAAAGAAAGAGAATTTATGCATAGCTGAAAAATCCACCATTAAAGAACAGAAGAAAGCTTAAAACTTGAGGGAAAAAATTGGGTAAAAACAAAAACTAAGAAATCTCTAATTTGAAAAAAAAAAAAAATGGCGAAAATAAAAGGAGGAAAAATCAATGTGGGAAAGATTTAAGACAAATATCCAAATTTGATGTAAGGAAGCATACGAGTAGGAAAGATAAACGAGTAAACGAGATACTCTCTCGTAAAATAGGCAAAACTCACAATATCTAATCTTATTTCATTTCAATAATCAACTGATTGATCATTCCCTTAAACATTGATAATAAATAGAGTTCCTAACTTGATAAATAAGAAATAAATATTCTCCTAAATAAAAGATTTTCCTAACCAACTCAATAAGATAAATAAGAGATAATAATAATAATAATGTTATCATTCGATCCAGTAATTCGGGATCACTCGTTGGAAATCACGTATTAAGAGTCATTGTAGGCAATGACCTAAACTCTAATCACTCCGGTCTATGCTACGAACCGAACTCTGACCAAAACGAAAAAAAGCCGACTTGTTCTATGAACACAGAGATCACCACGAACAGGGGCGAAAGCACTTGGGGGGTCGGAGAGGCGCCGGCCCCTCCAAAAAAAAAATAACTAGGGGTGGAGGATTTTGCTGGAACTGGAAGATTTTCCTTTGAACGCGCATGTTGGGCCCTCCCCGGTTTCATGCGGTACATACATGACCGGAGGGGCGCCACCGGTTTTGTCGTGAAAATTTTTTTTAAAGGAAAATTGGCCCCTCCCCAAAACGGGATCCTGGTTTCGGGACTATAACAGCAGCAGAATTTAATAATTTATTTATTTTTATTATATTTTGAGTTGGTTAATTAGCCGACTTGCGGTGTACCGACGGGACTGGTCATTATCGAATAATACTTTTATGAAAGTACGGGAAGCGGAGAGTGCGTTGGTGGCATCGATTTATGATTTTGAGGTCCCGACCATTTATTTTGGGTAGCCCGAAGTTGAGAGAAAAATGGCAGTGGCGGTGATTTTATTGTCATTTTCATGTCTAGACTTCGGGTAACCGTCGGCCCTCGTTAGGCGTGCTGAAAATTAGCGGGAGTGCTTTCTTGAAAGCACTAGAACAGTAGAAGCCGTTCGTATAATTTACTTCACGTTTAGAAGTTTCGAGCATTTATTTTGAGAAGCTCGAAGTCGAGTGCGCATAATAGAAGAATAAAAAGTCGTTTTGCAGGGTTCCGTAAGGTTGCGTGTGACCTCGGTTTAACGAGAATCGAGTTGGAGCGTGTAGACAATTCAAGCACAATTCCATACGGATAAATTTCGTATTTTTCGGAGTTCCAAGCATTTATTACGGGAGCTTGAATTTCTCGTTATATAGTATCAAAAGGAGCAAATTTCTCGAGGATGAGTTCGATCGTTCGAGGCTTCGTTTTCTCAATTTTTCAGCTTTTCGTCTATTCGAAAGGAGGTATCATTCTTGATTATTATTATAATTGAGTCCGAGATTTTATTAGTATAAATTCGAGAATTTTTCGAGTTAAAACAATTCAGTTTAAGTATACCATTTTAATTCCAGACTTAGTTTGATTTTAAGAAAAATCTCTAGAGTATTTCTTTAGATCCTGTGAAAATTTTTGAGAGCGTCCACAAAAGCCCTTTGAGCGCCCTTCCGATGCCGGAGTGGGGGTGGTGCGCCGGGGGATGGCCGGACTGGGGGTGGTGCGCCGCGGCAAATTGGGCCCTCCCCGGGATGACCGGCTGGTTTCGCCACTGACCACGAACAGAGGTCACGAGATTTTTCTAATTCGCATTATAAGGATTTATGTTTATTTAGCATACTCACCAATGAAAATATATTTTACAAGAATTTAATTACATAAATAAATCAAAATATAAAAAAATGAAAAAAAATATAATCATGAGTGCCAATAATATACAAATAAATTCTAAACAATAATCAATATGTTTCAATTTTAATTTTATACAATTAGTAAAACTATTTATTGTATATGGTCATTATCTCTTTAATGGTAAATTATATTAATTTGAAAAACGATTTATTTTTTATATTCAACAAAATAAAACTTAAGAAACAAATATATTGGCAAAGATTAATTCACCAACTTGATTTTGTCTGATTACTTGGAAAAAAAATCTACCTAACCTGCTACGGTTTTTCATAATTTTTTTTGGATAAAAAGTGAAATGTGAAAAAAAACTAATATTATGGTCAGAACTTAAAATATGGTGTAATATTATCCTGACCAAAATATTATCAACATGGATCACATAAATCAATCTTGTAATTTATTATAATGAAAGTATTACAAATATTAATAAAATAATATTTATCTTGACTAAAATATTATCAACATGAATCACGAAAATCAATCTTTTAATTTATTATAATAAATATCAATGAAAATACTTCAGATATTAATAAATTTATTTAAAAGTAATTATTTGATCATATCTAATTGATTTTATTTAAAACGTGTAAATAGAAGAAATTAATGCATATATTTAAAAAAAAAAATTCCAAAAATAGTATGCATTAAATGTTTCCTAAATTTTTGCTACTACTTTTAGGAAATGGTAATTCTTTTTATATAGATATAGATATAGATATAAATTTATCTCACATCTAATCATTGTTAACAATCACATAACAACAAATAATAATAACAACAATAATAATAATAATTAAACTATGCTCATCAAAATTCCAACTTTAATCATTCTAACAAAAAAAAAAAAAAATGTTAATTACGTGCAATGTTTTCGTCGAGAAAACAAGATGAAATTGTTCAGGTCTATCGTGCAAATGTATTTTCAGTTTTTTTCTTTTTTTTTAATCTAATTCTATTGTGAGTAAAATTTTGGGCCGTCAGATGTCTTTTAAATACATCCAACGGCCCATATTACACAGTAGTTACCTACGGTTTAAATGGGCACTGCAGAGCATTTGTCATTTGTGGAAGTCGGCTCCTGCGATTGCCATTGACGAAGAAAAGATAGAGATGAGCACGAGCGGCAGAGACGAAAACGAGAAGGGCCTGCTATGGAAGCTACCGGCAGTTAAGTCAAGGCAGTTGGGAAAGATCGGGCCTGCTTTTGGTGTGGGCGCGGGTTGCGGCTTCGGTTTCGCCGTCGGACTCATTGGAGGTGTACATCCAAATTCTCACCTTACCTTTTAAATTCCTATACTGCTTTGCTCATGACGACCGCCTTGTTTTTTTTCGTTATTCCTGGTTAAAGGTACTGGCTTTGGTCCTGGAGTGCCGGGTTTACAGCTCGGCTTTGGATTTGGAGTTGGTTGTGGGGTTGGTTTGGGTTTTGGGTACGGTGTGGGGAGAGGGATTGCATATGATGGCAGTCACAAATACTCTAACGTTGGCAAATTCTTAAACAAGAGTGGGGATATTCCTCTGCAGTAAGTCTAATTGTTCTTATTTACTTCTCAGTTCTCACTGCTATTCTTCATTCTGTTCATGTAACTCCACCAAGTCTCTAAATTTTAGGGCATGTCAGTTCTTGAATTTTGGGGTACCTTTGGAAACTGGCATCTAATATGCTGTTATATTAATTTATTAATTATTCATATAAAGAAAATAATGTATGTCACTGGGAATAGATTTGTGCATGTATAGGAAGAAAAATGAAATGGATATCTTTATGGTGGAGTCTACTAGTCTTACTTTGTGGACTTTGGTATTGGAAGGCTACATTCTGATTTTGAGAAAGATACATTAAATGGAACAGAGACAAATGAATTTAGATCAGATTATCGGTTGCCTTTGGTACTGGAAGTCTACATTCTTGTTCTGGGTGCTTCATTATATGTCTGGTTTGAGTTGGATTTTCTGACATGATTTGGAAAATCAAAGGTTTGGTAAAGCCATATACCGTGCCCTCATATACAATCCCTGCCCGACTATGCGTACATTTTGTGTCAATTCGTAGAATGGACCTGAAAAGTATAAAGCATAGATACCACGTGGGAAATTTTTCTTTTTTCTTTTTACTGATGCCCACTGGCATGCTTAAGCTGTTCCCAGTTCTTCAGCTTTTCAACTATCTATACTCTGTAAATGGTTTGAGACTTGGTCCTGTCAAATAGGTGTTAATCATCATGTTGTGTGTTATAAAATCACCGAAAGAGGGCCACTCTTGTTCGTCAAGGATGTTTGAAACACTGAATTGGTTAAAACCTTTAGAGAATGATTGGAGAAAACATTTTCATTCGAACAGAGAAATTTGTTTCTCGAAAATTGTGATTGGATTTTTTTTTTTTTGTCTATTTTAGAATACACTGTTCACCAATTTCATCTTTTCTCTTCTTAATCTTATCAACACAATTTTTTAAAATAAAAATCAATTTATATTAGAGAAATAATCTCTGTAATATACTCTGTTTATCCACTTACATATCTATACTTGTTTCCATAGACCAAATAATTGGATCGCCTAATGCGAACTATGCCGTTTCACAAACGTTATTGGGTTCGTGCCAAGTTAATTTGATGCTGGCATGCTGCTTGGGCAATCTCAGACTGGCTTTGTAGCCCATTTTTATAAACATGCTAGTGCCATGTGACGTATAATACAGCTGCTGACTCCTCTTCTTCAACTGGTGCTAGCCTGCCCAACATTTCAGATCATGTATTATTTCATTCTACGACAATGATCAAGAAAGTTCAAATAATTTTTATTTATTTTATGATAATCGATACATGTTTGAATCTCAAAATATCTATTCATAAGTCTATACTAGCTTTTGGTGTTCTCATATGTTGACCTAGAAAACTCTATCTAAGGAGCCTCACTGTAAGTAATAGTCAATACTGATGTCATATAACATAGAATCTTCGTATCTAGGTTATACAGTGCAATGGTTTAACGAACATTTATGTACTTAATGTCTTACTTTCGTTTGTTGTGTATGTCGGAATTAAGTAGGATCATGCTTTCTGGTCTAGAAACATTTCAGATTTTCAGTTAAGAACATGACTAGTCCTAGGATATGCGGAATATGCTAACATATGCAGAAGAGGAGAAAATAAAACTGGATGTAATATATTTGTTAACTTAGTTGTGATGTTTTGGCCTATGCAGTAGAAATTTTGGCCTTGTTTTTGTACAGTTTGAATAGTGTTGTGTTGATGCCAGGAATGAAATTGGTGACCTTGTTGATGAGCTTGTTGTGAATACGAAAAAACTAATTCAAGCAACTACACGGGAAGTGGACAAGTGGAGGAGGTATTGAGGACAGCGAGTGGTGGATGGCTATGGGATTGATTTACACTCCGTTGTGAACTTTACGTTACTTGGTTCATGGTTGCATCAGCGTTGGCTTTCTTCTTGTCTCTGCCTGCCAAGTGCCAACTTTAGTATCTTAGTCACTGCAGTATATGCAGAGCGGAGCTGCATAAAATTGCACATGATGTATATGCCAACTTTACCATGGTTGCTTCTTGTTTATACCGAAGCGTGATATTGTAATTACTTTGAAGTTAAATAATTTTGTAATTATTTTTTTCAACCACTTCATTTGGCATTTGCTAAAACAAAGTTGTTTAATTAGTATACAAAAGTAAATTCTAAAAAAACATGTGTGTATATTTTGTAAAATATTTATACACTATCTAATTTTAATTTTTTTTTGCATATTTTAAATTGATTACATAAATAAATAATACTAACTGCATTAAATATTTTTCATTACATTAAATAAAAAAAATAAGACTAGAACTTAACTTTTCTAAATAATAATAATAATATCATATTGACAACAAATTTTATAATAAAATAATAATTAAATATTATATGGTGAAGATATATACTAATATCAAACTACTACAACACCTGTGTATTACACGGGTGCTTGTTAAAAAATTATTCTTAAATCTTAAAATTAATGAGAGATTAAATTAAATTTAGTTTACTTTTTTAGAAAAAAAAAAATATATATATTACTATATATTTTAGAATGATATATATGTGTTACTTATGACTTACAAGTTACATGTGTTATATTATTTTAGTTTTTATAACTTATATCATATAACTACTTGAAATATAAATATATTAGTTGATAAATAATTTTTTATTTTTATAATTAATAATAAAAACAATTTTATTATTGTTATAAATATAAATTATTTTGTTTATACATACAATATGGATGTTAAATCGAAGCTCATCAAAAGAAGATTAATTTGATATATTACATATGTAAAACTGATAAAAAATACAAAAGTTATTAGCTTTTAAAATATATATATACAATTCAATAATTATAATAAGAAATCTATATATATTAAAAGCCAACATATTTACCAAAAACAGTAGCAAGAAAAGTCAACACATATTTAATGCATAATTTTTTTACTATATGCATTAAATGCTTGCATATTTACATTTACTATCCAAATATGATCTTAAAATTTTTTTCCTTAAATAATTTATGCAATGATTTTACTGATATCCATTATAATTAATTTTGTCGAGTAATATTTTTTAACCTTTATTTAATTATATAACACTATTATTTTTTTAAAAAAATTAATATTATTTATTATTTAAAAGATAATGACCACCTCATTAAATGATTTTATTGATGGTTAGATAATAAAATTATAGTTTTTTTTCTTTTAATATTTTGACATGTTGTTTATTTGTATATTATTGTCAACTATGATAGTGTTTTTATCACTTTTTTTTGTTATATTTCAAAAATGAACTTATTGTAAAATATTTTTCTATTGCATAGTATGTTAAATAAACTATAAAGCCTTAGGATGAAAATTAGAAAAAATCTCTTGATTATGTAAAGAATTTATGTTTTTGCCAATTGCTAAATCATTTTTTTTAAAAAAAAAAGAATTATTATGAGAAAATTGAATTCTAAAAAACATGTGTGTGTATTTTGTAAACATTTATACTCAAAATTTTATTTTGAATTTCATTACATAAAGAAGACTACTTCTATAACTTTTATTAATATTAATAATTACATTATATGACTGTAAATTTTATAATAAAATAATAATTAAGTATTATATGGTGAACAATAATTAATAAAATTTTTATTTTTTCCTATATCAATGAATAAATATTATTCAAAAATCAAATAAATATTAGCATGACGTGTTAGCGGAATTATATATTAATTAACATGTTAATTTTTTGGCTTAAATAAATGACACTTATTAAAAGATGTGAAATATGGATGATCCAAGCCTATTGTTTTTTTGTCAAGACGTACAAGTCCTATAGAAATAATTGATTTATTATATGTATCACGTGTATCGCACGGGGTATGCACTAATAAATGACCTTAGAATTGTGCACCACGTGCATCATCTGCGTTCACATTTTGGCCTATTACAGGTCACGTACTATATATATCCCGTACATTTTTTTATTCATTTATATAATTATAAGAATGGATAAATGACCTTAAATTGTTCACCCCCTGCATCGCACGGGCTCTGTACTAGTGATATTAAAATGCAATTAATACATGTAACATGACCATAAATAATCAACATATTTATGGTAATCCGAACCTAATTATTTTTGGTTTTGAATTAAATTAAAATTTACCCAAG